TCAAGAGAAAGAAGCTCTTGTGTCCTTGAGTGTTCTTCCAGAGAGTTTCGATCTAAAGGTTGCTGCGGCTGTTCTGAGTATGTCAAAAATTCTTGCGGCGAAAAACGTCTTGAAAAGCCTTCGGAGGAGGTCTTTTCTCGATGTAGGTCCCAAATCTGGATTATTTATGATACATAAACTACTTCAGTCTTTTGCAAGAGAAAGGGGAGAACATGAAATGAAAGAAACGATTCTTAATGCCAAATCTCGCTTCCGTGCATTTTACGTCTCCCGATTCGAGATGCTTAATGAGCAGTTTTTGACAGGAAATTCGATGTCTGCATTTATTGAGTTCTATGAACATGGAGAGAGTTTCCTTACAAGTCTTATAGAGGGATGTTACGATTCCAAGACTTCTGACAATGCTTTTCGAGCTCTGGTAAAAGCAGAGCTATTTCTAGACAGCCTATTTTGGTGCGAGGGCGACAAGATTGACAAAATTTACGATTCAGCAATTGAGGCAGCCAGGAAGGATGGGAGCAACGTGATCTACAGGCAGTTACTTGTTTCCTTGGCTTTTACTGAAGTAACTTTGGGTTCTCAAGGAAGGACGATGCAGCTTCTTTCGGAAGGGAAGTATGAGCCATCGAGCCCTTCAGTAGCGGTTGATGATAGAGGAAAACACCTGTGTTGCAGCGGCATCTATCAACTGGTTACCGGAAAAACAGAGAACGGAGTTCAACTTCTACAAGAGGCTCTTTGTTTACTGAATGACACCCCCGAACAGAGGATTCTAAGAATTATCACGTTCCAGATGCTTGCTATTTATCATCGATTTAAAAAGAACTCGTCAGGAATGTCAATGTTCTACAGCAAAGCGCGCGAGGAATGCAGAGTAGTGGGAGARACACACCTTCTTATTATTCCTGCAATGGAAAATACAGACAGGGAGAATGGAGAAGAAGAAATGGTCCTCAGAAACTCCGAAAACGTAATTAATCCTCCACTTACCGTAGAAGTTCTTTGTCTCGTGAGCAAAGCAACAGAACATTTACCAGATGCTGACGTAAAGCGATCTGCAAGCAACACTTTGCTAAATATAGCAAAAGAGATCGAAAAACCACTCCTCCAAAGTTCAATTGGTTTGTTTAACTTTCAGCGCAATGTAAACAGAATACTTCAGAGTTTGTCAAGCAGACGTGAAGACGCAGCCAAACTGTCCGCGGAAAGGATCATGTATCACGAGAAGGCAATTGAAAAATGCAAGAGAAGCAAAGAGAATTCGCCCATCCACGAACCAAACTCCGCGACTCTGGCACTTCATCAAGAAGCACTAGCAAAGAGCTATGCTGACCACGCAAACATTCAGTGCAAAATGCAAAACTATTCACAGGCTGTTCAGTCTGCACAGTTCGCACTTGATATCAGACTTGAACTGTTTGGAGAAGAACACTCAAGCACAGGT